TAATTGGTGAGATTGGTTTCGATGGTGAAGGTGACATCACTCAAACTGTTTGGGACTGCTTTTGGAGGATTTTCAGTCCATTTCACTGCCTCGGTGCGTACGGCGTATCTGTCAATTTCCTGGTGCATCTGGTCTTTTTGGCATCGATGGATCCGATGGATCTCATCCGCCGCTCCCGAAGCTGACCACCTCCCCAGCCAGGGTCAGGTCACGTCGAAGCATTCGAAGCGTCGCCCCATGCGAGGAGAGATCTGGCGGGCTTGGCACGCACCGTTCCGCCTTCACAGGAGCGTTCTTCACGAAGGGTCGAAGGCATGGCAGGTGGTGGTGTGGTGCTTCCCGGATCTCGGTGCCTTTTTGGGAGCTATGCACCATGTCAACATGTCTCTCTATATATTTTTGATGAAAGCTTTGAGAGAAAGACCCATGTGTGCCCTTCACCTGATCCCAAACCACCTTTGAAGTGACTCTGATTTCCAGCACCCACATCCTGCTCGCAGGAAACATGCATCGCATTGCTTCAACGCTGCTTGGGCCCTGCTAGCGGTGATCCAGTTTCACTCGCGGCGCTCGTGGCAGTGGCCAATGCTGCAGGAGAGTGGATGGGACAAGGTGTCAAAAAAGGACACCCTACGAAACTGAAGCTGCTTGTGACGTTCGTTGGGCTGGCAGATACCCACTTGTTTTTGGAGAACCATGCCATACAGATCTGACCCATGCTAAACCTTGTGAAGGCTTTTATAGATGGTGGCTGCTACAAGTCTGGAGGGTGACATCTATTTTTCGTAACTCGACTTTGAGAACGGATCAACGCTGAGAGCTTATAACGGATTGGAACCCAAAAAACACGGAAGATCCCGCGTTGCCATTGCACACCGCCGCTCACCCCAACGCCGATCCTCGTGACGGTGCTTTGCTTCACCAAAAAGAACGATATCAGGGTGAGAGAACCTCGACGCCCCGCTCGAGATGAACTTCGTTCGGTCTCGAGATGACTTGGCATCCAACTCGAAGAGAAGCTTTTCGTTGAATGAACGGTCGCGCCTCTACCGTGCCGGCGGGTCTGCCGCACGGCAGGACTGCAGCCTGGAGGAGATGCCACTTGGTGTCAGAGGGATCGGAACTCGTAGCCAGAAGAAAACAGGGGAGAGCATTGAGCATCCCGTGATTCACATTCAAGGATGCTTTCGTCGAGGAGTTCTTTTCTTTCTCCAAACTTGGTCCATCCGAAACCCTGTGGGGTGCAGTTTCTGTACTGTCGCAAATACCTGAACTCCCTGATGAACTACTGTATTCTACCGAGCATTTCACTTGCTTTCCGGGCTTTCACTGCACCGAAGAGGCCCGAAAAGGCCCCATAGTGCACAGGTCCTCAGCGCGGTGCTCGCGCACTTGGAGGACGCCCAGCGGCAGCAGGTGGCCCAGCGCCTTCCGGCGATGACCGGAAGCGAGGCCGGCGAGGCCGGCTTCGGGGCTTCAGGGGTGGAACGAAGAGCACTTCCAACACATGGGTTGGTGGGGGTGGTTGATGGTTTCAAGTCTTGCTCATTGGTAAATGGCAGCATTCATGGGTCAATGGACAAAGCAATATGGAATGTGTTGAAGAGTTTTGTTCTTTTTGGAGGCATGTCTCAGCTCTTGTTGCCTCAAAAAGTGTTCTGTTCACAGCCTTTTGGTTGAACTTGGATGGAAGAGTCCGCGACATCGGACGTCTTGGTACACTGTACACATAGCCACTGCACACCTCTAGACGCATATCCCATACAACCATCGAAAGCGTTATGGGCATGTCAACATGATCAAGTATACCAGCACCCGACTCTACAGGTCTCCGATGGCTGGAGGGTTGGGAAAGGCCCTGACAGGTAGACCTGTTGGTGACCTGTTGGTCGTCGGGTGCTGGTAGTTTTTTCTTAAATTGATGAGACCCACCACCATGAACCGACACAGCACCGTTCCAAGATGCCATGGTCGCAGAAAGCTTCGGCGGTGGTCGTTCGGTTGACAGCCAGGCTTGGGTGAGATTGCTTGAGCAGGACAGACAGCAGAGATTCGAAAAACGGATGGTTGCACCGCTTTGTTCTTCTTACAAATCCACATAGACCTTCTCAGAAAGGTCCTTGAGGGTGGCAACTCATCCCCATGATGATCCAGAAGCACCGGATTCTTCCTGTCTCTTGTGCCTCATCGCGGCTGGGGACACCCCACCGCCACTCGGACGTCAACGTCGGCCCAGGAGTTGGATCCACCGGCCTCGGTGGAGCTGAAGGAGACGCCCAAGCAGGAGCGGCCATGTGTGGTGTTTCCGTGGTGTGCGAGGTCAGTTGGAGGATGTTGGACCAAAATAGGTGACCGAGAAGAAACAGATGTTGGGTGCCAAAGAAGAGGACTTTGCTGTACTGAAACGGGGATGACCCAACTTGGTATCTCTCTTCTTTCACAAGCTCTATCCCACCAGACAATCTCCCCAGCTCACGTATGGGGAAGTGCCCGTAGCAGGGCGCGCCCGTAGCTGTGGCTGCCTTTTTTGGCCGAAGTGACCAAACTTGCGACCCATGCCAACCAGCGCCAAGTGACACCGAACGCCCCCCTCCGTTGTTTTCGATGAGTCGCTCAACCATGTTCACCCGACCCGTCCACCATTTGCCGCGAACGACCTGCACCATTTGCCGGTCGTTCGCTGGGGTTCCTGGTGCCGCCGCTGAGCCTTTGACCGACACGGGACATGGGCATCCGACCCTCCAAAGGACTTGCGCGCACTGCTGGTGGATGCTCCACCGGCCTTCTGCTGTCAGCTGGACGGACGGCTGCTACTTGGCCGAAGCACGGACGGTTCCGCCGACGGTTTTTTGCAAGGCGAGGTCAATGATTTTCACCAGTTGTGGCAGTGAAACTGGTTTTTGAGCAGAAATGGGCATCGAACTTCTTCGAAAAGCTTTTGGTTGGTTCAACGTGGGCATCCCACATGCTCTTCAGAACCTCGGGGTCCGTGTGCACCACGGTCTCCGCTCCTGTTTTCGCGGTCCGTGCCTTTGTCCCTCACTCTTCAAGCGAGTCGTGCAACCGATCCACCTCGGTTTTTCGTTTCGGGGTGGTTCTGGAGGCCGCGCCTTGGGTGGAAGAGAGATCCACGCTATCCAAGGGAGGATTGGATGTACTTGTCGGGAACGGCTCCGTAGGTGGCCGACGGATTGACATGAGGCAAAGCCTTAGAGAACGAAGAGGACGTTTCGCAAAACGAAGATGACTCTTTTGATTCTTTGAGGTAAGATGGAATGTTGCATAAGAATTGACTAGTGGACAAGCAGATCTTTGTGCCATTACACGGAATCAGCAACTTGCAACTGGTTTTTGTTCAAAGGGCTATAGAACAAACGCAGACAGGCTTGCTATAGAGGACAAACTCAAGCAACACCACCAGAGATTTCACCTCCAGCAATGCTTTTCACTTACCACGTCACTCTCGGTTTCGCTGGCACTTCAGGGTCAACTGCACCCAGCATCTCCAGGGTCAACTGCACCTACGACGCTTGTCACAGCTCACCTTCCTCTAGCTCCCTTCACTTCGACGCTTCGGATGCCCTACGTCCTCCCAGGCTCGTGGACCCCGTTCGGACGCCCTACGGCCATGTCTGTGAGCGCTCCACGCTGGCACGAAGACTCGTAGAAGGCGATGGGTGGTGGTGGGGAGGTTGGTGGGGAAATCCTGAGATCTGAACTGAACATCACTTCCGCAGCTAGGCAGGGATGTTGAAGGCTTAATAAATGAATACCAATGATGTCAGAGGCAGTCACGAAGCTGCTTCTCTGTATGCTTCAAGTCTATTTTCCCTGCTTCGGAAGTTTGGCTTGATCAAGTGCTCAGCTTGAGACATGTGTTCCAGCCCAAGCTGGAAAAGGTTTCGTATGTTTCTATTCAAAATCACCGTCTGCCAAAGCATGGAAGGGAATCAGCTTCAAACTCACTGAACTCTGAGCGGAAGTGGTTGGAAACACTGGATGGATGAGTTTCGTCAGCCAGCTCTTCATGTGTGTCTCAAGCCGCTGGTCGAACGTCGTCGGCAACCCTTAAGTCGTGCCAGGGCAGTGTCCCTTTACAGGACATCCACTTACTTTGTCCGAGTGCATGTGACTTGGCCGGAGTGCCTGTGAATGGTTTGTTGGGCCCCCCCAAAGACATCACTCTTTTTTGATGTGGAACTTGAAACTTAGTGGGACTTTGTTGGATCAGGAAAGAACAGGTACACACACATACAAAAAGAACACATTGCCGTCTTCTTTGCCGAAGCGAAGGGCCGCCATTTTTTTATTTCCCTTTCCGGAGTTGGCCTCAGATTTTGGACCCTGGAATGGATTCTGCACCGGGCCCAGCCTCAGCAGCCTAGGAGGTCCATTGTAACAAGACCACCCGTGCTGCAGGAACCCTGAAGGATCCTTTTTAAAGGTTGATTTGGCGAGTCTCTGGAGGCTTCAGTGGATGTGGTCCACATGTCGGCCTCCGGATTCTTCTGTTGTTCTTTTTTTTTGCGCGCCAAGCCCCCCAAAAAGTACGTCCAGACTCGGATCATTTAGATTGAGAAGCGAAGATCGCCGAATTCAACCTTCCCGTCCCTTTTCATCCTTTTCATCCTCCTCCCGCCGTTTCCGCCACGCCACGCCTGTCGGTGGAACGCCGAGGCGAGATCCCGAGCTGCGCAAGGAGCTGCGCGCCTGGCTGCGGGAATCGTCCGAGAGAAGGAAAAAGGAGGAGCGAGACACTGCGAGATGGCTTCTCGTGAAAACCGCACGTGACCAACGTGTGACCAACGTGCAGCAGCACATGCTTTCCCCGAGCCAAGGAATTCTTTTTTTTGGTCTCAGGGACTTGTTTGTTGCGGTTGAAGACGTTTGGTTTAACGGTGAAGAAGTCACCATCATTACAAGTTGGTCATGCATGTGTTGATGCAAGTCAAGAGGTGAGTTGTATTTGCACGCACCGCACTACGCATACTTCCGCCAAGGAATCCACGGAAGACGCTTGCCGGAGAAATGGAGCAGGGTTCCCTAGATGGCGATCATGTGCCATTCTTATGTGGGCGTCATTATGCGTCATTGATCAGATTGACAGTCCAAGTTTGCGCTTGTGTCTCCTTGTCGTTCGAATGTTGGGCACTCCGAGTATTGGGCACACCGAGTATTGGGCGGAACAGAGCCCTCAACGAAGAAGACTCCTTGTCCGGGACGTTGGTAAGTTGTTTTCTCGTTTCTTCGAAAATTAGCAGAATCGGTCATGTTGTTTGTCAGGCACTGGGCTGGTGCCGGGGATCTGCTTGGCCCTCTATAATGAATGTGCTGGCCTAGCTCGTATACCGACCCCCAACGAGGCTCAAGACGGCTGAACCATGCTGAACCCGAAAGGAGGTCGTTTTCTTCCTACAAACCAGAGCGTCTCTTTCCGTTGTCCGCTGGTGTTTGAATGCTTTGGACTGTCTGTCGAGAAAGCGGTTCGATCCCCACCGCCGTACCGTTTGGGAGACCTGACCGGCCGAAGAGGACGGGACCGACCCAGCGGATGGGGATTCGATCGGATCGGACGAAGATGTGGCTGGAAAAAACCGAGAAAGCGGCCGGTCCGAGCGCCGAGAAGGCACAGTGGGGAATGAAGTTGGGAAGAATGACGCTCTGGGATCCCCCGAATTCTTAATGCCTTAACGCCATTGAAGGGGCTTTCGTAGAGAGGGGGGAGAGTGGTTCGAAAAAAGTGTTCTTGCAGAATGGTCGCGACCCAAACAAAACCATCAAGTAAATAGGATTAAATAGGGACAGACATCGGACAGAAACACTCACGGACATCAAACTCATCTCACAAACATCTATCTGCTCACGGACATCTATTCCCGAAACATCTATCTGCTCTCACATCTATCTGCTCACGGACATCTATCTGTCCCCCTTCTTTTTGGTGTTGAACTGTTTTGGTCCAACACCTCAGACCGAACGAACATGTCCCGTACGATGGGACGGCGCCGAGGTGCTCTTCATGTCCGGCCGCGAACGGACGGCGCTGCAGAAGTACGTCATCGTGCGGGGACGCTCGGGAGGGACGACTGGGAGCGGCCGAGGGCCAGTACAGGAGCCTGGTGACCTTTGAACAGGAAGGACTGGGTGGAACACCAGCAGAAAGATGTGAAAAGTACATGCTGTCAAAGGCTTTGTGCCTTTTGGTCCCTTTGTTTGTTTTGGTTTGAACTCAATGTAACGTGGTTTCTTAGCGTTGTAAAGTGAGATGTGTATTAACATGTAGTATTCACATGTCAGAACACTCAACGTGGGGTGGTTGATGGTCGGCGACTTTGGATGGCTAAGGCTGGTCTTCGTGGCGTTGGGCTTGGCACTCAGAGTTCCCTTCGAGGGAAGTGGCGGAGACGCGGCGGAGACGCGGCGGAGACGCGGCGGAGCCTGGTTTTGTGAAGAGGCCTTCATGTCATTGATCAGGAGTGCCAATGGAGTGATCCAAGATGGCGAGACACCTCTGTGAGAAAGCAAAGGCCTGGAGGCCCCCCTACCACTGTCATGTGTGTTGAGTCCAGATCCAGACCTCATGGAGGTACCCGGCTACCACCCTCGGCCCACCGAGTACCACGCCCCAACACCCAAGCCCCCTCTTTCTGGGTGCCAATCTATGCATGCTTTTGGGCATATCACCCCCCCACATATGCACATCGCCCAGTAATCGTCGTGCGATGTTTTGGACGACTGCATGGGTGTTCATTTTTCCAAGGTCTCTTAGATTCTCTTCAATCCTCCTTTCTCTTCTTCATCCAATCCCTGGGGTTCTCGGCCGGCGAAAACCGGCCGGCTGCACCCGTCCTCCAACATCGACATCGACCTCGTCGACCTCGATTCGCATGGCCCGTCGCCTGGCGGAGAAAGGCTTCGACAGCTTCTGGTTCGATTTCGACTCCGTGTGGCTGAAGAACCCTTGGCCGGTCTTGCAGCAAGCACTGGCCACCTGGCTGCGAAGAGAAGGACCGATGAGATGGCCCTCAAAACCATGAAAAACAAAAGTTTTCACATACACAAACCATGTTTTTTGCTGGGGAAAACCAGGTTTTTGATGGTTTGTGGGGCCCCTGGTAGGGCCTACTGAGTCTGAGCACCGCATGACTGGGGGGGGACAAAAGAGAGGGCTGGTAGAACAAGTAGCCAACTGCTCATTACAAGAGCCATGAAAGAGCTATTTGTGGTGGTTTGTGGATGAACAACTCCAGGAACTGTAGACAAACCTGTTTTTGGAAAGCTGTTTGTATGGCCTATGTACCTACATTGAGGTGGTTTCAGGGGTGAAGGTAAGTGGATGTCCATACATGTGGATGATCTGCATAGACGAAGCTGTCTTGGATGTGCGATGCGGGGAGGCCGTTAGTTGACGCCGACTGACAGTCGGCCATGTGGGTCGCATAGTCAAGGTGCATACAAATCCTTCAGGGGCACCAAGGTCGCATAGTCAAGGTGAGTCAGTATGGGTCTGTTTGCTCATTTTGATGGGTTAACCAAGGTGCCCCTGTTTGGATCCATCGCCATGTTTGACTTTTTCAGTTGCTCCGTTCCTCATTCACTTCCCAAGACACTTTAAGTGGGCGCCCGCCCACGCTCTCAGGTTGCAGATGTTGCAGGTTGCCGTCCGGAAGACGATGAGAAGCAACACCAAACAACTGAAACGGCCCGATGCTCTCAGGCTGCAGAGGAGGCGGATGCCGCACGTGAGGGAAGGCCAGGATCGGACTGTGGCTTCAGTGGATCCGAATCTGTTGTTTCAGAACTTGATCCCGAATTCTGGAGAATCTCATTTGTGCGTGGAGAAACAAAAGCAACATGCAAAGAGAATTGAAGTTTTCCATGTACAAGCTCTAGTGGCAGTGAACAGCTGTTCAACTGGAGATTTCATCGGCATTGGTGGAAGATCCAGCTGTCCAGCTGTCCAGCCCGTGGACTCCGTCGACTTGCCACGTCCTTGTTCCCATGGACTCGTCAGGGTGTCTTCTCATGCGACATCCAGCTGTCAGCTGTGGTAGCGACATCCAGTAGCTTGCGGGAAGCGGTGAAAAGGTCAATCCCTTGGTTTGTGATCCACTTCCATTTTCGATCCACCCCGGCCCTTGGGCCGGGCTGACACTGGACTCCCCCTTTTGTCCACCAAAGAATCCAGCCATTTGATATTGCTCAAAAGATGGCGCAGCCATTATTTTAATCTTCAATCTTTGCGTTGGAAGAAAGCATCTCGTGATCAAAGAACACAAGAACTCCTTCACAGTTCATGTAATACAAATCCACAAACGTCTCCTCCAAAAGCTGAACTGGCTCCCCTCAAAAGCCGTGTCCAATTCCCTTCTCTGAAGAAAATCCCTGGTGAACACTCCCAACCGTCCTGAGCTCGCTCCTGAGCTCGCAAAAAGAATCAACAAGATATACTGGGTGGGGTGAACAAAGTGAACTTGCACAGGCTTGTTTTTTTCATGCAGCGCAGCTCCGCACTCTGAATGAGCGGGCTCCATCGGTCTTTACATTTGTCCAACTCTGCCACCCGCGCACGCTGCTACCCGACGACCTTCACAGATGACCGGCAGTTCTGCTCCCGAGTCCAAAACACTTCAGGGTCTTTGCAATGCCTCTCTGTGACACATGGCATCCTTTGACCGAAAAGATGCCACCCCTTCGGACCCTTCGGACCCTGACGCGCGGAGCCGAGCAGAGCACTGCACGAACGCGTGACGCTCTGAAAAGCCGAACGCGGTTCCGGGCCGTTTGGTCCGGAACTCGTCGTCCGGGGCAGGTCGGAGGCCTTGCTCTTCTCCGCCATCGACTACGATTCCACGAACTGCGCCATGAACGGCTTCTTCTTCGTCCGCGCGCCGGAACGGCCCAGGAGCAGAGAGGGAGAGAGAGAGAGAGAGAAGAAAAAAGGTCGGAGTGATTGAGTTCTTTTTTTAAAGTTGCTATTCCTGGAGCTATACAAGAGTTGATTTCTGATTTCCAGTTGAATTCCATAGTCTTGACAGAGGTATCTTGTTGGATACCGGCTTTTTGCAGATGCATGTTGTGCAACAGATCTTTGGCCTCACTGTATTTATATAACAAGATTCGGTCCAACATTGGTTGTGGCACGATGTGACCATGGTTCTTTTTTGAGGTGTCTGGGATGGTTTCTTTTGGACCAGGTGGAGCGCAATGTGCCCATGTTTTCTTGGGTGGTTTCTTTTTAATCCTGGGCGGAGGCGCCTTGACTGACTGACGTTCTGGGCTCTCTTGTTTTGGTTTGCGATGTGACGTGAATGGAGTAGAAGAGAAGAACAAACAGAAGTACCAACAAGACCATTTAATACGGAAAGCCATCAGCAAGGAGAGCCGGGCCTAAGTCGTACCCAATACAACGATCGCAGCAGGTTTGAGCATTTGTTGTTATCATTCCACTCTTTCCCCGTAACCTGCAACAAAACTCTCCGGTTTCTCTTGTCCCATCGAAAACGAGAAAATACCCCCAGATGCCCCAGGTTTCCGGATGCCTTGTCATGGTTGATTGCCTTGCTTGCTCCTGGACAGCGTTTTACTGGGGGGTAGCGCGCGACCTCCCGCGGTGGCCGTCGGGCTGGTGGCTTCCAGGTGTGATACACGCAGCCAATCACGGTTCGAGATCGCATCTCTCCTCCCTTTCATCTCGAAATCAGCTTCAAAGATGTTTCACGAATGACAAGTACAGCGACTCAGGAGCTTGTTTTCGTGGCGATCCATTCGATCATCTGTTTTGGGGTTCTTCACCCGACGGTTCAGGGGACCGACGGACTAAGGATTGGATCCACAAGCGGCCCTTCGTCCACGCCGCGCGGTCGTTGTGGGGAGGGGTTAGCTGGAGAAATCGTCCCCTCGGTGGAGAGGAATAACAAAAGGGCAAGAAAGAACAAACATGTTCATGCGTTAAAGTCTTTGTATAATTGAGTCTAAATTATCCTTTTCATGCTGTCCTTTTTTCACAGTTCACCCTGTGGATGCTGGTAGATCACCCAGAAGAATGTCAAGGGGTTGATACAAAAAGGTGATGTGAACGAACACACATCGGGAGCTGCATGATTCGTTTCCAAATTGACCCATGTGCTTTGCCTAAGGAACGGTTTATGTGCTTTTTTTCATATTTTTTCCCATCCATCGGCCCATCGGTGTCTTGAAATGCTTGAATGAATGCCCATCATGAAACGTCAACATGGATGTTCTCATTGAGAATCTCCTCAATTGTACGGCAGTGACCCGTGTAGTATAGCGCCCCCAAATCTTAATCGATGGGAACATGGTGAAACTGTACCGAAGGTTCGCCAAAACAACAAATGATCCCACAACATGTCACCCGCGCTTGTACTGTTGGTCTTTCTGCCAGTATGGTGCCCTCTGAAAGCCTCGGACAAGGACCAGCTGGCCTTCGGGCTCTTTCTGGGTACCACACCTTTGGTGGATGAGGACTGAGAGACGCTCGTGCGGTAGCACGACGTCTCGTGAGCGCCCGGCCGGGAATCCGTGCTCCCCTGCGACCTAGGGAGCCACCTGACCCCTTCGGTGCGGGGCAGAAGCGACGCCGGCTCCTTGGGTGGAGGGATCGACGGTCGAGGTCGAGGGATTTGAGAGTTGGGATGATGAGATGCTTCCGATTGGAAAAAGAACTGGTGTCCCTTTTTGGTGACCAGAGAGGCATGCCAGAGTGGAGAAGATGAACGAGATAAGAGATCTGTTTCTTTAAAGATCAGAGTGGAGGACTCTTTGCAGCCTTTGGGGCTTCTCTCTTTCTTTTTTCACTATGAACATCCGGAATCACTTCTTGTAACAAGTTGAACGGAACACCTCGAGAATCGACACTTTTCGCTTCTTGGACGCCACGGTCGGTTTCCCCGGCGCTGCGCTCCGCTGCCGCGTGGGTCCTCGGTCGGAGGAGCCCATCCCTATGGCACCCGCCTGGGCGCCGACAGGGAAGCCCAGTGGGGGGACGGAAGCGACGGAGCCGGAACGGTGGATGGGATGGACTCACACGACCTCGGATGTTGTGAGATCGGTATGGCTTCGATTCGATCGTCAGTTAGTCGGTTCGGTTCCTTATTTAAAGAATTGGTTTCCTATAGGAATTGGTTTCGATTCGAAGCGATTCGGTTCGTGGTCCGGTTCGTTTCGTTTCGTTTCGTTTCGTTTCGTCGGAATCACACATCCTAAGCAACTTGACTCTAAGACACTCTAAACAGTTCACTGCAGGTTCAGACTAGACTGAACCCTTTCCAAACAATGAAAGCAGACTGGCTTGATCCTATCTAATCCCCCTAGGATTGCACGGATTGAAGATTACGCGGTTACGAATTAGTCTTTGGGATCTGCGGATTAGAGGTAAACTTCAATCCTGCAATCCTAGTGGGAAATGGAATCCAAAGGTGTTGGTTGGGATTTAAGTCTTGTAAGGCTTACAAATGGTTTTTATCTCTACAAACCCCAAGGCCCTCAATGCATCTCAGCCCAAAGGCAAGGCTACGCTAGAACGAAAACTGAGGTAGGCATGGCAGGGTATAAATATGGCCAAACTCACCGTGGTAGCGGTGGTGGAACGAAAACCGAGGTTGCAACGTCACAAACCCTTGCTGGCGGCCACAAAGCCCCAAATTTGCTCAAAATTTGGAGCTTTTCTGGCGGCGGTCGCAAAAGCTCCACATTCCAATGAAATTTGGAGCTTTTTGGTGGCGGTGGCGGTGGCGGTCGCAAAAGCTCCACATTCCAATGAAATTTGGAGCT